AAATACATTTTAAAGTGCCTTAATGTATTGAGTCTTGCAATTGATATAAAATGAATTAAGCATTGAGAAATTCTTCAATCTTAAAATCAGAGCAGGCAACAAAACAAAACTGTCAAATCTGGATACAGACCAAATCCATAGAGAAACTACATCATTAAAACCACCTGCCTATTGTTGTCTTGGTCCTCCTCATGCTGCCATCCATGCAATGGTCTCTGGCACTATGACGTCAGCCTTCCATCTTTTGGGTGCTGTGGCTTTGTGTTACATGGACTTTAGTTCACTTACAAAAACCCTTACGATTTGTTCCAAAAGAGTGTTTTACATAAAAAAATTCATTGACTAACATGTCTAGGAGGGTTTGGGAATAGACAGCCATACACTATGATCACTATAATAAGAATATAGTTGAGTGTCCTACGTGCAGCTCAGTGTTTTGGTGATTAACAAGAAGGTCCTGGGGTGAATCCACTGGCCAGCTGAGGCCTTTCTGTGTGGAGTTTGCATGCTCACCTCATGTGTCTCTAAGTTCTCTCCTGGTACTCTGGCTTTCTCCCACAGTCCAAAGAAATGCATGTTTGGTTAATTTTGTTTTTCTAAATTGGCCGTGGGTGTAACTATGAGCATGTAGGTTCTTTTTAGACAAATTTTAAGGGGCATGAACACATAGCCATCGTTTGTGCACAGGACTGAGCTTCGACCTTTGCAAGTGACCTCTCCACCGAGCCGAATGAAGATTTAAATTGAGCGCAGTGGGTTGACAGTTCTGTCTGCTATCAGGCAAACACTGGATTAGTTATTTTCTCCAATATATTCACTTAAAAGTTTATTACATTTTTTAAACTCTGACTGGTCCTTTAAAATATACCATACCAGACAATAGATCAAATAAAAAATATCTCAAAGTCAATAAATCCCCTTCAGATCAGCTGATTTGAAATATATCAATGTAGGACTATGCCGCACAATATTCATGGCGCATTTAAAAATCACCAAAAAAAAAGAGGCTGCTGACTCAAACAGAGACAATCAATTTGATGTTACAGTGCTGAATTTTATCAATGCTTTTAATCTGCAGAGCTCTCATTAGACGTCTGAGTGAATTAAGAACCTGTGGTTTTTGCATGCTTTAAAATAGCAGGTCAAACTCAGGGAAACAACAGGGCCTTTAGAAACCAGTAAAGCATCGCAAGGACACCTGTGGGTTAGTAGCTTTCTCAAAAGTCAAGCATATGCTTACGATTAAAGGAGATTGCATGAAGAAAAAAGGCAAACAAAGTTAAAATTTGTCATGCAGTGCTCCTTCACTACTTGGAAATATGGCTGATACTAATGCTAAGCGTATGGAATTTCGCTCTCCCCTTCAGGGGCCCATCAGGGACCCACTGTGCACTGTGCTGTCATTTACAGTGGCATTTTTAAATGTCACATGACCACGAGACACAGGATGTGAATTGACAGTGTGGTGTGTGCAGACAGATGCATGCTGTTTTTGCAGTGCTAGACCACTTTGCATTTCCTGGCATTAGCAAATTATTAAGCTTTGGTGACGTCTTCCTTTGGGCTTTCTGTTGGAGATTTATAGAGAAAGGGGAAGTTACACCACTTGTGCCTTTTCCCGGTCTGTTGTCTGCCGTGACACCGGTGCTGAGCCCTACGAGCACCTAGCGTTTGATAGGTTTAAAAATGACAGCACGCATAGCTACAGGAAACGGTCTTCACAGTAATATAATCGTTTTATTGATAACTGTGTCAAAGTTGTTTAGTCTCCATCTGCACTTAATCACAGACATAAGCTGTCCTTTTATTGCATTATTATCCTATTTGCTTTACATGTCTGTGGAACTACAATTGATTCAGATATAAGATGGGTGAAAATCTATATTTATTTTTTTATATTTCATATCTGAATCGTTTAAAAAGGAATGCTGCTTTCATAGAAATTAAGAGTCAAATGCACTTGATTAACTTACAATCAGCAAGTGTGACTACCTTTGTAATAGCAAAGCTTTTGACAGTCTGCTGGTCTGGACCATTCAGGTGCCAAAATATTCTCAGGAGTGGACGTCCAAGCAAAGGTTTGATCGTGCTATGCTCAGAGAAACTCCAGAAAACCCCCGATGTGATATCTCAGACTCTTAACATTTACCATGCTAGCTGAGGCCTGTAAAGTTCATGACAGCACAATTAGAAAAAGACTGAAGAGTTTCTAGAAGAAAGCCATTTCTCTCTACAAAAGAACATGGCAGCATGTCTTAGGTTTACAAAGTTGCATCTTCTAGAAATCTTGATCATTGTCCTTTGGACATAATGCACAGCTCCATGTTTGGTGAAAAAGCAAACAAAGCATATGAGCACAAACATATCATGTCATCTATTAAGCATGGCGGTGGAAGGGTGATGATTTGGGCTTCCTGGAAAACAGAAAACAAGTAACTCTTAAATTATGCCTGTAGAAAAATGATTTGCTGGATCTGGATGCCAGCCTTATTCTGACATATATGCATGTATGTTGCTTTGTGCAGTACCTACTTCCCCTCTCAGGATTTAAAGAGAAAACACTCTGACGTGAGACTGCGAGGAAGAAGAGGAAGACATGTGCTGCATGGTCATGTCTCAGACAGTTAGCGTGAAATTTATGTAACCTGGAAATTTCATGAGCTACAGAGAAGTTACAAAGCAATTAGCCAGAGTAATTATTACATAGAAAACCAACCTCACTGTGGAAATACACAAAATATGAAATTAGTTTCATTTTGAGTTTCCTCTAAATCATATTGCACAGTTTGACTCACAAATCAGTCGAGGGATGTAAAAGTTTACAATGAAGTGTGCGAATTCTAAACAGAAACTGGACCGTTTCTTGTATGCAAAAGCATATTGTTTTTTATGCGTGTGTGTATGTGTGCGTGTGGGCATTCATGTGCATAAAATGGAGTGGAGGAAGTGTATTTTTGTCACAAACAAGTTGACCAATCGTCTTCTCTTTAGTGCTCTGTAAATTACAGTAAACCTGGGTCCAGTGCCACAGTTGAGCTGGTATGAGGTGACAGTATAAAAAGAAGGAAGGAAAGAAATTATTTGTCTTGGCTCGTGTGTGTGGAGCTGCAAACATTTTCAAACTTTGCATACTCACCAAAACTGAGAAATGTTAAAGTTCATTTGTGACACCATCTCAACACGTGTGCCTTTACAAATAAAGTAGATAACACACCCTTATAATGAGTGCAACCTATAATCCATGCTAATTAACTGGGTTTACCTTAGAAAGATGAATCAAAACCAGTGTGTAAGCTCTAAAATGTGCATTACACAGTGAGGGATTTCAACCACAGGTATGAAACGTGGAGAAAACTATAGGTGTGGCAACAAAAGCAGCTTAGAGAGTCTTTTTTTAACCTTTTGTTTCAAGGGTTTTAAACACACCTACTGAAGAGAACATAAGGAGAGGCTGTGCGTCACAATGAATAAGAGACAAAAAAGACTAAATGACTTCCTTAACTACAAATGTATACATCTGTAACTACCCTCGTTTTGCTCACTTTGAGCTTAAGTGTCGTTTTCCACAACAGGTCATTGAACCCTGAAGGGGGAAAAAAAAGCCTCCAAAAGCAAAAGCATGTTGTCTGCTGCCCTCTTGTGGTGGACTGCTGGCTATGTTTCTACCCACGTTGGGTTTGGCAGCACAGTTGATGAAAGGATTTGGAATTTGGGTTTTAGGACAGAATACGCATTAAGTCATACAAACCAATAGAAAAACAAAACAAAAATGCTGACAAATGCGATAAAAAAAATTAGATGATTTCTATTTAACAATTTTTAAAATTTTGGTCACTTTTCCTCACAACCACTGACACCAAAAACGGGTGGATGCAACAACAAATTAATTGAAACACTGCCTAAGCAGTGAAAATAGTAACAACTTGGACAAAGTTACCATGTAACAAACCAAAGGCGTAACGTCTGACTGATGGAGGAGCCAAAGTGTAGTTAAGCTAACGTGAACACGCCTAATCCCCTGACCTCTGACTTTGGTTGTCAGTGAAGACATTACAATAACAAAAAGGCATAAATTCCATATCTGAAATTCATTTTCAAAAGACAGCATATAACAAATTCAGTATTGATCCTTTCAGCGCTTCAAAGAAAGTAAAGTTCAAAAATATTTGATTCAATTGTTGAACTTTACTGGAAAAATTGCAATTTTTTCCAATTGTTCTGGCCTTTTGTATTCAGCTAATTTCAAGCTTTCCATGTTCATTCTTCTTCTTCTATCTATTGCTTGTACAGTTTCCATGCTGCTCCACTTCAAGGCTAAAGCTGTACATAGATATCTGCTTCGGGGCCTAGAACTGACTTGTTACGCCCCTGTAACAAACACAGCATAAACGAACAACAACATAAAGCACAACAATTTTTAAATTTACTTACTTTACGTGGTTGCCTGCGCGCGCGCATACCTGAAAAAAATACATTAAAATTAATAAATAAATCGATCTATCAATCAATGTCACTGTCCTTCAGCAGCGGTCGTTTCCGCTCGTGCTGCACGCCAGCAGCCTCCTCGTGGCAACAGGGGGCATTCTGATTGGCTGGGACTTAACAAGCAATTTAGCCTTAGGAGGCCGTCACAGCTGTTTGCGGCTAATAATTACAGTATCGAAGCAGTTCCGTTGTAAATAAACGTTCCGAAATGTTGCGATGCATACAGTTTATTTGGAAGTTATATTATTAAATAATGTCAAATAGAACTGAAAACTTAACTCGCATCTGATACAAGTAGGTGTGCTGCAAAAGTTTTACAAAAGTTGAGCTCTTAAGAACATTATTTTCATAATTCCAATACTAATTTGTTAATATTTATATAAACTAAGTAGATCCAGACATTTATTTTGCCTCAGCAAAAAAACATACCCGGGCAAAACTCTTATATTTTTGCCACTATTTATTTCGTTGTGGTTATATTTGTGTTTAATAGAGCAACACCGTGTGGACCGTGAAAGCAGCCTCTCTGAGGCTGTTGCTGGGAGCTCCGGCCAATCAAAGCATACAGCGCTCCCGTGTAAGTACTGTGGTGGCTGGGGGGAAAAAAGCATGACATCATGCTCGGCTCCGTCCGTCTCTACGAGTGAAACATCTTCCTTCTACTACAGCAAACAACAGGAGCCGACTGAGCCGTCTGTGTTGTGAATTTGCGCAGGTCCAGCCGTAAAATACACCGAGAGAGCGGCCCCAGTACACCGGAGCGTGCAGCGGAGGCGGGGAGGGGCATCAGCCCGTTTGGGGGGAATGGCGGATGGGGATGCTGTCTTGTCTGTGGAATGGGACAGTGGTGATGAGGGTTTAGCCATGGATCCAGAGAAAACGCTGACTTTCTGCCACGGGCTGCAGACTATGGAGGTAATGCACTGCACAGCTTTACATTTGATGCGCACGCAGCTGTCAGCAGCTGTTCTGCAGAGCAACATGCTTCCCTCGGCCTGTGGGGTTGTTGACAAATAGCAGTGACCTCGGCATATTATTATTATTTTTATTTCGTCACCTTTTGGTCGTTACATCTGTGACATACACGAGACAGCACGTGTATTTGTGCACCACTGCAGTCAGTCAGCTTAGGTCTCTGTTTTATTTTATATTTAATTATTTTTAACATTGGGAAGGCTGTCTGTAAGTCTGTAGCCAATGCAAAATATCTGTAAGTTTGACTTGTAGACGTGGTCGTGTACAACGAATATCTTAGACATAACAGGATTGGTGTGCAAATCCATTAAGATAAAGCAAAGATTCTTGGTTTATATTAATTTAAACTTAGACACTAAATTAATGAGTTTTTGGTTATGATTTGCCATATTTCAGTTTTAGATTGTAGTTTTCAAGACTTGTGGACAAGTAAAAATTCCTTGTTTAGCAATGTGGCTTAAAAACCTGCAAATTGACAAACAAGAGCTTTTTAATGCAAGACACCTTGTGATTCTTGGCTGTTAAGAAGAAGAACATTATTCTACTGAACTGGGGAAGTGGTTTGTTCAATGACTGTGTTGTTCTCTGCTTTGAGTGTGTTGTCTGAAAGTATTCAGTGAATACAACTCCAGTTCTAAATGAATTGGGAGACTGTGTAAAATGCAGATCTTATAATCCTATATTTTATTTGCAGTCGAACATATAAAACACATCAGATGTTTAAACTGAGACATTTTACTTTATCATGAAAAAATTTAGCTGAATTGAATTTAAGAATTTAAGACAGCAGCACATTTCAAAGCGGAAATGTGGGTAGCAAGAAGCTGGAAAAGTATGTGGTCCTAAAAAAGAAAGCTGGAAGAAAATTTTCCAAATAATTTGGTTAAATGGAAACAGATCAGTAAGATCATAGGGTATAAAAAGAGCATCTTAGGGAGGCAGGGAGAGGTTCACCAGTAATGCAGAAAGCTGTCTACAAGTTGCAGAACTATTTCAGAATAATGTTCTTCAATGTAAAATTGGAAAGACTTTGAATATCTCATCATATACAATCCATAATATCATCAAGACTGTGAAAATCTGGAGAAATCTCTGTGTGCAGTGAACAAGGCCAAAAAGCTCACGATCTTCCAGCCCTCAAGTGGATCTGCATTTAAAAACAGGAATGATTCTGTCATGGAAATCACAGCAGGGGCTCATGAACACTTCCAGAAATCATGGTGAACACAATTCACCATGCCATGCACAAAGGCACGTTAAAACTCTATCAAGCAAAAACAAAGCCAGACGGGAACATGATCCAGAAAGTCCATCTTTCTCTGGACCAAAGCTCTGTGACTGTGGTGTATTTTAAAAAAAGCTTTTCTGTGCTCAGAGAAATTAACGTTTTAGACTTGTTTTTGGAAAACAAGGACACCACGTCTTCCGTACTAAAGATGAAAAGGAGCATCCAGCTTGTTATCAGTGCTCAGTTCAAAGGTCAGCATCGCTGATGGCATGCACCTGTCGACGTGGCAGTTTTCACATCTGGAAAGACTCGCTCAGTGCTGAAAGAGTTTAGCATTAATGGTGGAGCAACATGTGCTCCCATTCAGAAGATGCCTTTTTCAGAGAAGGCCTTCCATATTTCAACAAGACAACGCTAAACTGCATCTATGACATAGCATGGCTTCCAAATCAAAGAGTTCAGATGCTGAACTGGCCTGCCTGCAGTACAATTTTATAAGATTTGCAATCATTGATTCTATTTTTATTTAAGTTTTACTCAACATCCCAACTTTTTTTTTTACAATTAAGCTTTTACATAGCTTGATCTTACTTTAATAAAAAGACTCACAAGAACTGCTTTTATTTATTTATAGTCAATTACTCATTGTAATATGCAAACTGTTGATGTTGTTAAGATTTTAAAAATCCATCCGTTGCAGTGACCCTTAGGGAAACGAGGGAAAGTACCTGCTATGCCGTTGAGTGTGTGAGTGTCTTGAGTTGAGTGTCTTGCAACTCCATGGAAACATAAAAGTGTGTCTTTGACCTCTGGCTGGATATGATTTTAAATGTCATTGTTGCTTCTCCCACACATTGCGGTTCCATGATATGGATAAGTTTCCCCCTCTCTACCAGCCGTTGAGTTTCTCACAGGCAGGTCGTAACGTTGTTTTGTTTGCTAGTCTTCTGATTAATTGTTGATTGCTGTTGTTACTCTGTGTGCCTTATTTCACAGGCAGATTAATTGGGTGTCTCTGTTCGGTTGATAAATAGGGCTCCATTTAGGTTGTTTGTATTTGTGATGGTTGACATTGTGAGTAATTATTTACTGTAGCGTTGCAGTGACTCTCAAACTGCTGAGGCATGGATAACTAAGGGAAATGAAAGTGAATGAATATGACTTTTTGAGGGTAAAATAAAGAAGCTTTGCTGATGCTGTTGCATTGACTTTTTAACTAAAATTCAGCTTGGTCATGAGAAAATATAAAGTGTGGAGCATTTTAAGGCTCTGAAGTGGAATGTGCTAGAGAAAGGTCTGAATACTAGACTGTTTTACACAATGGTTATTTTGGGCTTCCAGTTGCTGATAATTATTTCCTTAGGCAGGGTCACAAGAGGTCAGTCTGAGGAGGGGTCTCTCAGAGGTCATTTACCAGAGACACTCAGTGGTGCCTACTGAGCATACATGCAGGAGTGTAGCGACTCAGCGTCTGTCTGCAGACAAATAATCGTTTTTCTGTATTTGTAAATAATAATAGGTCTCACTGTGACTCTGTGGACTCCAAAAGCTTTATAACTGGCTTTGTACCCTTTCCAGGCTCTGTTTAAGTGATTTCTTGATTCAACAGGTCCACCATTAATCAGGCCAGAGTGTGGCAAGTAAAACTGAACTCATATGGTCAATGTGGTTCATTCATGATTTAACAAGGGGGGCAATTACTTTTTCACATAGTGCCAGGTAGGTTTGGACAAATCATGATTTAAAAACATCTGAAACATGTAAGTGTAATAAATATGGAGGGAAAAAAGAAATCAGGAAAGGTGCAAATACTTTTCACAGCACTTTACCTGCCCTATTTCAGAGAGGGAAAAACTGTGCAGTACACATGAATGAGTTGTGTTTGTATAAATGTGTCCTGTTGTTGTATTGGACGGTGGTTTCACATGTTGACCTGTTTTGTTGCACTCTGTCCTCCTTGGTTGGCCTTGTTGCAGTAAATATTTGTGTATAACACTTGAGCCTCCTCAGTGTTCTTCCTGCTCGAGGAACTTGGTCTGTTTACATTTTAAACATTGGGGAACTGGTTGACTTTGCTAAGAAAAGCTTTGAAAGTAAAATGATGCCATTTGCACATAATTTTTTTTTTTTTTTTGTTTATTTGTTTGTTTTTTACTATTCTTTTGGGGGGTTTTGTAAGCAAAGTTATGGAGACTTGTCAGGACCCTTGGGTGGAAATCATTTGTGGTTAGTCTGCGGTATCTGAGGAAGCCTGAATGACTTCTCATCACACTTGTATGCATATCCTGTGCCGTGTGGTGGGCTTACCTCTCAGGAAGCACATAGGAACTCAACCTGATGGTATTTATGACAGAACATTTCCTGTCTTGACTCTTTATGTTTTCCATCAGTATAGGCCAAGTCCCCAGAGGTTGTTACATTTGACACTGGTATTTGCAACGGTAGGTAACATAACCCAATATTTATCAGTTTACAGAAGAATCTCTACTGTATTTGTCCAGAATTCATTTTAAAATCTTTCTTTTTAAAAAACAAAATCCCGTTAGGCCTTATTATATCTTTAAACGCCATAGTGTCATAATATCCCAAGAGAGTACTTTGTTCTCAAGCTGTAGGCTTACTTTTGATTCCTTGAGTTTCTAAAAGCAGAATGGGAGGCAGAGCCTTCAGCTCCCAATTTGTTGAGGGTCATCTCATTACCACATCCAATCTTCTAGTTAACCTCCAAAGGCGTAAGCCTAAATTATAAAAGAGAGCTGAAAGAGAAGGGACAAACAACATATCCAACTACTGCATGTCAGAAACTATTATCTGCTGCCTCTTTGTTTATTGCCTTGTTTATCATTTGTGGTTCCCCTATACTTCCCTTCATTTTCCTTAGTACTTCCTCTTATATCCACGTGGTAGATGGCTGCCCCTCATTGAGGCTGCTTCTGCTGGAGATTTCATCCTGTTAAAACAGCAGTTCTTCTTTCCCACTGTCACCAAATGCTTGCTTACAATGGATTGTGTGAGGATTAGGCTTCTCTTACTAACAATATAGGGGCTTTAATTTATAATATACAGCACCCTGAGGCAACTGTTACTGTAAACTGGTGCTGGATAGATAAAACTGAAATCAAAAATGGAATTGATATTGATATTTGGAGGGAAAGATTTTGCCAGGTTAGTACATCAAGATTAGCTTCCAGGAAGTGCTTTTATGGAAATTTTAACATTTTGTATCTATCTAATAGACTTTGATTTGTTCATGGAAATGGGGAGTCATCTTCACACACTAAGGTTAATTATGGAGTTCCACTTGGTTCTGTGCAAGGTCCAATTCTGTTTACATTATGCATCCTTCCTTTAGGCAGTATCATTCGAGGGCATAGCATATACTTTCACTGTTATGCAGATGACATCCAGCTTTATCTATCCATGAAGCTAGATGACAAATGCCAAATACTGTATCAAAGACAATGAGGCCCTAATTTCCTGCTTCTAAAGTCAGTCATTGTACTTGGTACTAGAAATCTTAGAAACATGGTGTCTAACCAGATGCTTACTCTGGATGGCCTCCAGGAACACTAAGGACTCTTGGGGTTTATTCATTTATTTTTTCACCAGGATATGCCTTTCAAAACGCATCTTAAACAAATATGTAGGACTGCTTTCTTGCATTTCCACAACATCTCTAAAATGAGAAACATCCTGTCTCAGAGTGACGCTGAAACACTAGATTAGAGCTGGGCGATATAAGATTTTTTCATATCACGATATGTTTTTTTCATTTCAGGCGATAACGATATCTATCACGATATAAGCCAAATAACTATATTTGTAAGATTTAAATGTGACGTTGCTCACAAGTAAAATGTGAGATAATCAGCAGCTTGTTTTTATTTAAATATTTATTTCCCATAATAAGTTCAACAGGGTAGATGTACT